CATTATAAAAGTTTTGCACTATGAAAGCTCCTAACCAACATGAATTTTCAAAGATTCACTGGCAGTAAGACCAAGGACGACACTGAGAAGCCTTCCATGCATACTGAGATTTTCCCCGCTGTTCTCATCTCTGCTCTGCTGTTATCATCCATCCATGCTTGTCACTGTCTCCTCTAGAATCTTGTGAGTTTAGAAAACCCAAATCAGTTAGATGTTTTCTGTAAAAGAAACCATCTTAAGGTGTAGTGATGTAAACTAACCCTTTAAATTGCACACATCTATAAGTTCTGTAGATGCTTCTGCTCATCAGGGTAAGTACTTTCACGGCTCTGAGGCTTTGCCCTGGGAACATGGGCTGACTACTCTGGGCCTCATGATGTCTCATCCCCAGTCACCTCCCCAGTCAGGCTTGTTCACATGACTGTGGGCAATGTTTCTAGATAGAGTAGAAGTACATAAGGCCGCTTGGACTTGACACCTGGCCACTTTGCTGCATTTGATTTACCAAAGGCAGTCACAAGCCAGGTTCACAGTCTGCAGAAACAGACTTTCTCTGGGGGAAAGCTTCTGAAGATGATAGAATCCTATACATAGAAAACCAGAAACACTCTTCTGAAAGTTCATTAGAAATGGTAAAAATTCAGCAAAGTAGCAGCATATGAAGTAGACATTTCCAAATGAATAATTTTTCTATGTATCAACCATGAACTGAGAATCAATGGAAGAAAATGATTCTATTCACAACAGCTTTAAAAAGAAAACAAAACATACTTTGGGATCAACTGAACTAAGGAGAAGGACTTCTATAGTGAAAATTATAGAACGTTGTAGAAAAAAATTGAAGAAGACACTAGAATATGGAATGATCTCCTATGACATAGAGTTAATATTGTTAGAATGAGATCATCATGATCAGATAGGGTGTGACAGCAAGGGACGAAGCCTTTGAAATGTGCTCATGACAAACATAGGTACCCAGAAGAGAGGCCATAGAGAAAGCCAGATGCAGGAGGGCAAATGAAGAGAAACTCAGCGGGCCAAACTCCAGTGTCAGGTATGTTTCAAAGGGAACCTGGGCCACTTCCAGGCTGGAGCACACAGGCCTTCTTGGGAGAGGCCTGGGCTTCCTCAGGGTGGCTGCCAGCACTTCAGCAGTGGGTTGACAGATGGAAGATGGCCTGTAGTAAACCATAGTCAATGCACAGCTTGCGGCCAGTAGGTGGACCCGGAGAGCAATTTGGATCCCAGGTCTCCCTGCTTTCAATCAAGCAATTAAGGGGACAATGAGGGTGGGAGTGGGCCAACAGACTCGGAAGCCTGCAAGGGAACTCAAACTGAAGCACAAAGGGAGCTGTGAGCATACTTTGGTTTTGTGCTATTGCACCTATAAGAGGGATTATGTTTGTTTGCTTGTTTGTTTCACTGGGGTTGTTTTGGGTTTTGATTCATTTTAATTATTTTTTAGTTTTAAAATTCTACTTTGGCCTTATTTTTCCTTTTCTTTCTCTTTTTATTCTCCCAGTTCCTTTTGCTTCTCTCTTCTTCTTTGTCTTCAACCCTTACTGTCCCTCTTTTCCTCTCCATGTTTCATCTGGCTGCATTTAAGAGGTGCCTGTATACGTGCAAAAGAGAATAAGAATTAACCACTACTTTAGCTTTAGTAGTACTTTCTGTGGTCATCTCAGGATAATCCTTTCCAAACACTGTCCACAGAGGATCCAAACGGGAACTCACAACAACATATTAACAGATTCCAATGACCTCACAGCTTTCTTCAACCTCTAATTACACTTTCTTTCCTTCTGTGTAGCTCTGTCTACTCACACATATATTCTTTCAACCCATCTCGACACTAGCCCTTTACTACAGCTGTAAAATAATTCCCACAGAGTCTGACCTCTTGTCTGGCTTTCAAATATTGATATTTCTCTTCTTTCTTTTTCTTACTCCCTTTGCCCCTCCCCCTGTCATTCTTCTCTTGGTTCACATCCCAGTCTAATGGCTAGAAGCAGGATTCTAGTCTTAAAGGGGCATTGATAAAAGTGTGAAATTGCCAAAGCAAGTTTAAATATGAATTGATATATGGTGAGATCTGTTAACACTGTTATATAACCTATATGAATTTTCTCCTTGCAACAGAGTGACTGGTTATAATCCAAAACGGAGGAGGTCAAAGTGGTAAGCAACACCACTTGGCAAATCAAGCCAAGATCACATCGTTGGACCCCAGACTAACTAAAGGGATCTTTATAATAACAACGAAGCCCTTTCATTCTATTTGATCTTCAATACTCAGAACTCACACACAAAATAGAAACCTGAAGAAAGAAGGCAAAAACGCTCTTCAAAACCTCCAAACTCCCCCAAATCAGATCCAAGAGTCCTCGATGAGGAGGATGTGCTGAGTTCGATCCCTGGTACCACAGGGAAAAAAAAAGAAAAGAAGTCTGTTTGTGACACAACCTGCTCCAGATGTTTCCAAAATGTAGTCTCCCAGGTGACCTGAGTTATTTTGACATGATTCTACTACAGCAGTGATGGTGAACCCCTTAGAGCTTTCAATGAAGACAAACAGCTGGCTGCTGCACAGGCACCATAGATTCACTACCACGGTACTAGAGGTATTAGGGTAACAGCAAAGCAAATCAAAATCAACCACATGTGCTGTTCACTCTAGGTTGCTGCTCAGAGCTGGGGCTGCAGGAGAACTTGGAGTCCGAGCAGGAGAACAGTAGAATAGAGAAGGAACTACGTTTAATAGCAAGGAAACACCTGGACTGGAGGAGGTAATCTTGCAGTCCTCCGCTTCAGCCTCCCTGAGTGGTGGGATTATGGGCATGTGCCACCATGCCCAGCTCATCTTTGCCATTTAAATGTATGGTTCAGCTGTGTTAATTTCATTCACACTGTTGCCCAGCCATCACCACTAATGTCCCTAGAATAATTTACATCTTAGCAAAAGATGCTAAGATTTACTCTGTGTCCTGAAGTGATAACTTCCTGTTTTGTCTCACTAGCACCTGGCAGCCACCATAATACTCTGTGTCTCTGTGAATTTCACTACCCTAAGAATTGAATAAGAGTGGCACCATATAGTATTTGTCCTTTTGAGTCTGGCTTATTTTCACTTAGCAGAATTATAGCTTGAGTCATTGTCTCCTTAACTCTTTAAGGCTGAATAATATTCTGTCTAATGTGTCTGCTACATTTTCCTTTCCCATCCATCCATCCATCCATCCACCTATCATCCATCCATCCATCCACGGACACCTGGGTAGCTCCACATTTTGTCAATCATGTTGCCATGAACATAGGTGTGCAAATATCTCTTCAAACTTCTGCTTTAAATTCATTATGCATAGTGGAATTTATGTATTGTATTTTTTTTACTGTTTATACACTTTTATTGAGTACAAATTCCTAATTTGATACATGTATACAATGTGTGAGTATCATACATTTTAAATGGACTTTTATATTGTTTTGTATAGCAGCAAGGTACTGTTTTTTAAGGCCATATTTTGTCACAGTGGTGATGCCAGACACCAGCCCCCTTGGTCTTTGACTGGTGAGTTTGGGCTGGGGTGAGGGCTCAGGCTCCTTGGCGTGAGCTCCAGACTTGGCTGGAGGGGTGGCTCTCACAGCTCCACTCTGCCCCTAATTGTCTCTCATTACCACTCCTCTTTCAGATTTTTCAAACCTGAGGCTGCTTTCTATCTCTGCCTTAAATTTATTGCCAACATTCTTGGGACTTAGCAAAGAGCCTTTCAACTCAAACTCATGCACGCAAACAAAACATTCAGTTATCAATTTTAAACCAAAATCTAATTTGACTCCTGGAATATTAACATTATGAGTTTCATTTGTCACTGTTTGCTTAGTTGTAAACCTTCCTGAGGTTGACACTTGCTTCTCAGGGTTGATTTTCCAGTGTGAGGAAAGACAAACAGGATCATCCTCAGGATGAGGGTTATGTCCTGGCTAGAAGTGACTGGAACAAGCATCTTTCTGCTGAACTTTCTATGAGGTCACCTGGGGGTGCCCTCCAGCAATACCATGTCTTGTCCCCTGCTATGTGCTTTGCTGTTCAGAGTGCCATCTCTGCTCTCCACTCTGCACTCCTGAGAGGCCCCCAGGGGAATGGTCAGTTGGAAGATGCTTTTCCCCTCCATATTCCCTAGGAAAGGGAGGAGAACAGAAGGGAATCCCATTCCAGGGAGCCCAGGAGAGCGTGTCCAGCGTGTCTAAGTCAAGCCTACTTTTTCAAGGCCAGGGTGGGGGCTCTGCTCCCTGGGTGTCTTGGGTGCTGACTCATCCACCTTTCATAGGCGCCAGTGTTGCCCCCTGGGCCCCTTCTGATGCAGAGTGAGGGCTCCTTTCTGATGAGTTAGAATCATCTTCTCACTGGGCAAAAACTGTGTGGACCTAAGATTTGGCCAAAAGCCTCCCCAGCAACAACCCGGGTAGACAGACATGTCTAGCTGAACTGAGATGGCAGCAAACCCATGGGGCTTTGCTCCTCCCCTTGTTGCCATGGGAGCAGGGGAGGGTGCAGTGGCCAGTGGTCAGGCTGCTAGTTGTGGAGGGATCTCAGCGGAAGCTGTGCATGACAGCTCCAGGTGGTGAAGGCGCTGGTTCTGGCAGAAGACCCTAGTGAAGCTAATGCCTACAAGCTGCGTGGACACGAGGCTCCATGACACCTGCACAACATGCATGCAGTACACGTGCAGGGCATGAGAGAGCCCATGGTGCAGATGGGGGACATGGGTGCTGAGTGTTTAGTTTCAAAACCTAGGTATCAGGAGTAATGTGCAGAGTGTCTCAGACTTGGTTGGTGATCGATCATTTTTCATGAAATCCATGGTGATCCTATACCTGAGGTGACCTTGACTGAGAATGATCTGGAATATGGGGGCTGAGATTCTGTCTCTGAGTGTGCAACAGGGAGGGTCATAAACACCTCAGAAGGTCCCTTTCAGTTTCACTTTGAGTGTAGGGGAGTCTCTGCCTGGAGGAAGCCTCTGCTCATTCCTGCTTGCCTTGACTGGATTCACACAGCAAAGAGCAGCTGGATCCGCTGGGTCCGATCTAAACGGGAGGATTTAGCTACAGGAGGATTCCTCGGTAAGTTGTGGGCTCCTCCATATCCTCAGCCTCACAACCACTTTGTCAGAGAAGGGCTATGGTCCCCATTTTGCAGGAGAGCTCAGAGACATTATGAATAGACCCCAGGGCACACACTGAAGCAGAGCCTGGATTTACACCCAGGTTTGTGTCTCACCGAATCCCTCCCACTGTGCCCTAAACAGAGGTGTGGGGGGGGGGGCTGCTCAGATGGGTGCCAAAGGTCCCTGCAGCTCAGCTTAGGTGCCAGGGTGCTAGAGATGAGGGCATGTGATGCAGGGAGGGTGGATGGGGTTGGCTACCTCTCTGGGAAATTTTAAGGAACTGAAGGTGGTGGAGGAGAGCAGGGGACCTGAGGATGGCCCCAGGGGCTGCTCCTGAGGCCTGAAGGGGCAGAGATTCTCTGGAGATGCGAGGAGCCCAGAGCTTGTCCTTCCCACCCTGCATCTGAGCACCTACTCAGTTCTGGGCCCTGAGGGGAAACTGAGCCTTGGCAGCAGGCGGACTTACTTCCCAGGGTTGGGGAGGGAGGCTGAACATGTAGCCAGCCAGCTCGTACCCACTGGCTGACACCCAGTGCTCTGTCAGCATGAGGGGCAGAAGGAAAAGGCCAAGGCTGTGCTTTGTGTGGGAGGAGAAATGGGCAGAGATTTGGGGCGCGATGCGGGAGGTCACTGAACGGTGTCCCAGCACACCCGGCCTTTGGAGCCCTACAGTGCAAGGCCCCACTGTGGATGAGACAGGGCAGACCTCTGGGCCTGGGCCAGCAGGCAAGAAGAAGAAAGTTTGGATGAGTGAAAATGTGTGCTTCAATCCCGGGGGCAGAGGCCAGTGTCGGCCTCCACTGTGCCCACCAAGAGCTGTGTGACACTGGGAGGTCACTTCCCCTCCTGAGCCTCTGCTTTTCCTCCCTGGAAAAGCAGTTAGAGTTCTCTGCCTTGCTGAGCCCTCAGCCAGCTGCTTCCCACCTCTTGGGTGGGGCCTCCCCAGGCAGTGGAAGCGGGGCAGCAGGGATTGTGACGCCAGAGGCCACAGGGGCTGCAGGAAAGTGGGGCCAAGAGAGACCTGCGCTGGCTTCTCAGCAGGTGATGCTCAGTGGGAGAGTGTGGGCCTGGCTGCCCTTGGTAGCATTGCTGGCTATTTGGTGTCAAAATGGAAAAACTTGCATTTAAAATATTGGCAACCAGGTGAAATTTAACCTCACAGAAGCCAACACACAGACAAACACACACACAGACACACACACACACACACACACCTGGCACCTGTTGTTCTCAGTCTGACATATGCAGCTCCAAGAGTGTTTGCTTACAAGCCACTTCTCCCTCCTTCCCATGCTGTTTAGGGACAGCACAGGATTCCCCAGTATCAGTGGACTCTACTCTCTGCCCCAGTGGAGTTTGACGCTCAGTGTTTTCCTCCTTTTTTTGTTAAACTCCATCAGAAAACCACCTTCTCTCCTTTGCACACTTTTCCTGCACATTATCACTCCGTAGTCTGGGTGGGGAAACCTTGGCCGAGCCGACAGGCTACAGCTGGGGCACATTTCAGTGTTGCATGGGAATTGCTGACCATCTTCCTGAACTCTGGAACCCTTACACCCACATGGATTGCAAAGCGGGAGTGTGCCCACAGGAGTAAAATACGTGTACACCCTGATTGTTTTAAGGCTGTTGAATCTGAGTTTACAACTATCTCTCTGTAAATGAACCGTAATTCCCTAGGTGGGCCTGCAGAGGAGCAGCCAGGGAAGTTCAAAAATTCTCCTTTCTGCTGAAATTCCCTGGCTTCCGTAGAGAGCCATGAGTGGAGGGGAGCAGAGCTTGAGATCTGGCCCTGGCTGTCACCTTGGAAGGGGTTTGGAACCCTGGGCCCCTCTTCAGATAGGGCCCCATGATTTTGGAATTATCTCTTTATTTCTCCTCATTTTAAAATATGAATGCTGAAGCAAGAAGACACGAAGAAGTTCATGAAAACTTTCAAATATATCCCACAGTTGTCAAAAGTACTGGACATCAGTGAGATAACTTGTGTGAAAGCTGAGCCAGATTCCTGTTTGTTGTCTGCAAGAAAGAGACAGATCATGGAGACAGACAGGAAAAGCCAATGGAACTCCTCAGGCGGCTGGGAAGGAGCTGAAGCTGGGCTGGGTCCTCAGAGGCTGGGAGGCCCGTGTCCAGCAACTGCCTCTCACACCCTGTGTTGCAGAGGCTGGCCAAGGAGGGTGGAGGCCAGGCGGGTCGGTCCTGGTGCCCCAATGGGGCCACAGCAGAGAAGACCACAGGACCCTGCTGGGACGCACTGAGTCCTCCGGGAGACAGCTGCCCACAGCAGCATGACATGGACAGGAGCCGGGAGTCTCCTCTTCACTCCAGGGGAGCTTAGGGGGGCTGGAGGCAGCCAGCAGGGAGGAGGAGGAGGCAAAGGGGCTGGGCCTAGCATAGAGGAGGAGGCTGGGAAAGCTTCCAGGAGAGGGTGTGGCCCCAGCAATGGCCTGGGTCCAGGTGCGCTGACCATGATCCAGGAGAGGGTCTGGAACCAAGGAGCAAGGGTGGCCAGGGGAGGGGAGGAAGGAGGAGCTTCAGCAGGCAGGAGTGCCTGGGTGTTCAGTTCAGGGGCTTGAACTCGATCCTCCTCCCTCAGTAAGCATTACTGAGGAAGAACAAGCAGCATTAATCCTCTTTCTCTGCTCAAGAGTCAGGCACTGCAGCCACAGGGAAAGAGAAAGCGCTACAATTTCTGCTCTGCTTCCTGTGGAGAGCTGACTCCACTGCTCCTAGGGAACAGATGGCTCTCTGCCCGGGAACAGCTAGGAGCAGGGCCAACCTGATGCAATGGAGAATTGCTACCAGCACTTTCCTTTTCCTCTCACCAGCAGCCTTTCTGGGAACTGAGCAGCCAGCAGGTTCAGCCAGAATGAGCCCCAGTACGGGTGAGGGAACACTGTCCACATCCCCACAAGAACAAGGCCCTAAGTGACCAGGAAGAATGAACCCAGGGTGCACACTCATTCACAAATGTGTGGCGTCATCTAAAACTGTTCTTTCTGCCTGCCCATCCTCTTAGTCTCTTGATATTTCAGTCTCATAGTCCAAATGCTGTGCTCTGTCTGGGGCCATCTAGGATTTGAGCCAAGAAAAAGATGGGGCAGCCAGTTCTCCTGTCACAGTGAGCCTTTAGTACTAAGCCCCCACTTGCCCTTTGCAGATTTGTCCTTGTGTCATATTGGGAAACAGTGAGATAAATAGTCAGGGCTGGCGGGCAGATGCCCCAGGTACCAAACAAGTGGATGTCCTGTGACTGAGGCAAGAAGAGGCAGCCAGGGCCAGGGGAGAGAAGAGCCTTTTGCACTGGGAGGGCAGGGGTCAAGGGACACGGGAGCTACTGTGCTACTGAGACAATATCAGAAAGCAGAGGCCGGCATTCGGAGATGGGATGCCTGGACATGAGGAGAGGTGCTGTGGCCTGGTGAGAGAACAGGACCTGCTGGGAGCTGTGCCCACCTTGGTGGGCCTGACAGGGACACCTCACACCTGCCTGTACTTATTCTCTCTCACTGGGAAATATCCATGCCCGCCTAGGGAAGGCATCAGGGACACTCCATGGCCATGGGACAGTTGGCGCCTGTCACATCAGTGAGGGAGAAGGCATGTGGTGGGGAGCCGCTGACCTCGGAAAGGGGGCGCTACCCAGAACCCATTGCAGGATGGAGGCTCTGGTCGAGTGCTGTGAGGAGGGTCCGGATTGGGAGTTGCAGAAAGTGAGGGCCAATTCTGTTCATGGGCATCCCAGTACACCTGTCTGTGGAGGGAGGCGCACAGGGAATAAGGAGAAAGCTGTTCTTGGTAAAGAAGTGACAGACATCCTTTGCAGTCAGCACACGGTCCATTTCTGTGGCCATAACAAACTACTTCAGGGAAGATAATTCATAAGGGCTGGAAGCTAACCCACAAATCTGGAAGCTGGGGGTTCTAAGAGCATGGCTTCGGTATGTGCTGTGCCATCTGGTGAGGACCTTCATGCTGTATGATAGCAGCACAGTTGGTCACAAAGCTAGGGTGCATAATAGAAGCCAAATTACATGTGAGGATGAATGCCATCAAGAAGGAGAAACAACCTAAGATCCAATAGTTTGGGCAGGACGCAGAGGGCACTGGGCAGCCACCAGCAGGGCCAGGGCCTCGCAGGGCTCCAAGCTCTGCTGGGGTGAAGGATGATAGAGCAGCAAGAAGAGTTCAGGGTTTGCACACCACAGGGAGCACCAGTCAGCTTACCAAGGCAGGGGGCAGGGGGCAGGGGACAGGTCGTGGATTTGGGCTGAACGAGAGTCGTGGACAATGAATCTACAAACATCAGTGAATATTTCTGTGTATTTAAGAGAACAGAGCATAGTCATAGGAAAAATAGGATTTGGACCCAAGCCCTTGCCCCAGCACCTCTGTGAACTCAGTCATGCTACCCGGCCTTCACTGGGGTTCACTTGGCTTCAACATGTCAGCTCAGATGTGCTTATCCCCTGGAGTACACTTAGGAGGGGACACGTAAGGAGTCCGACTGCCCCAGACCCTAAACAAACACTGGCCATTATCATCAGTGAACATAAATGGGCCCACAACCAAGTAGTGGGCAGAATTTCCATCCCCCGATCACACTGCATGGCTCTTATTATTTCTACCTGGCTGTGTCCTCATCCCGCTGCCTTGTCCCTGTACCCTCACAGAACAGGAGGCCTCTGCCCTGCGAAGTGGAAGCTTGAGCCAGGTGATTTCCTTTTCTTTAACGAGCAGCCACACAGCTGAGGGGACAGAGAACAGTGTGGCTGAGGTCCTTGGTGGCCTCTGCTGCCATCCCCGGGTGGCGGGTGGGTACACATGGGTGTTCACTGCGTCTCCAGCAGGCTCCGACTCCAGTCCATCACTTGTTTCCTTCTCTCCTCCAGCCTGGAGGCCTTGTGAGCTGTCAGGACTTCTCGGAGACCCCTCTGCAGACACCATGGGCAACAAATCCTCCCGAGGTACTGGAACCTCTTCTTGGCTCATGGGTTTGTGCTCCAGGGCTGAGTCTTCCTGCACAGTAGTCAGCGATAGAGGAGGGAGCCCAGGAGAGATGGACAGATCTCCCTGACCTGGCTCTGGGAAGATTACTCTCTGGGCCTCTCCTCAGGGCCCAGGTCCTCACTTCCTCCCCACTCTGCCTCCTAGCCAGAGCCTCAGGTGCCACTCCGAATGGCTGGGCCGGCAGAATGGCCTATTGTGGCCCTGAACTGGACCCTTGTGTGACATTTATCACCTTCCCACTACATATCAGACCTGGATCCCTTGGCTCCCCTTGCCTATCACATGCCAACAATGTCTCCTATAGTGTTGTGAGGACCCAGTATAACGTGTGGCCATCTCCAGGCCAGTTCCCTCACAGGTACATCCTCCCTGTGTGGGGGTCTCTCCCCGACTTGAACCTGGTTAGCTCCAGGTGGAAACTTTCCCTCTCTCTGCTCCCTCCCTGGACCTGTGTGTGGGCACCTGGCCTGCACCGCAGGTGAGATGCATGGTGCTCACCAGGTGGGACTGCCTCAGGCAGGGAGTTCTTGTGAGGATCTCATTGAAAATAAAAGTCTGAGAGTGGCAGGGTGGCCCGCAGCTGTAATCCCAGAATTTAGAGAGGCTCAGGCAGGGGGACTGGAAGTTTGAGTCCCCCCCGTGCAACTTAACCAGCCCATCTCAAAGTAAGAAGAAATAAATAAAAATGCTGGAGATGCAGCTCAGTGGCCAAGCACTCCTGTGCTTTAACCTCAATACTACACGTAAAACAAAGAAGGAAGGAAAGAGAAAGGAAGGAAGGAAGGAAGGTAAAAAGGTAGAAAAGAAAGGAAAGGAAGAATGGAAGGAAGGAAAGAAATGTCTGAAAGTAAAAGGAAAACACCTATCCTCAGTCAGCAACATGCTCCTTCATTCTTTTTTTCTACCCCTCACCCAGGTGCCTTGAAACAAAGGCTCTTCTCAATCTTCACCAGTCCTGGAGAGCAAATCCTGCTCTCGGTGGTCTTGCTGCTCAGTCGGGGAGGAAGGGAATATTGGAAGGCAGGAGCTCTCAGCTGTCCTGGGATCCTGAGGCAGGGCTGGGGCTGGTGGACTCTTCCAAACAAACTCTGTCTTGTTCACTAAATGGGCAGCCTCGGGGCAGAGGTACTGCTGAGGCTTTGTGCTCCCTGAGACAGAAGTGATGGCTCCTGGAATCCTAGGCCAGATGCCCGACTCTGGGGCCAGCAGTCATGTCTGGCCACGCCCTCAATTACCAGATGGCAAAAGTAAAGGTGAAAAGCAGAAAGGCACTTTAGTCAGTACAGCTGCAGTGGGAGGACAGGGCAGCAGCTGCCTCAGTCCTAATTTAGAGGCACCGACCTGTGCTCTGAGATGACACAGACAGGGGGCAGCAGTGTGCACAGTCACAGGGTCTGTGGAACAGTGGCCTGGTGCGCACTGACTGTCTCAGCACTGGTCAGGCAGGTGTTTTTCTGAAGAGGTAAGAAAGTTGCTATTTCCTGGTGCATTGTTTCCTGTCCTGAGAAGATGCTGATCCAAGCGGATACAGGAGAGAAGACTCAGAGCAAAGGAGGCAGATGCGAACTGGAGGCAGAGATGCCAGGTGCTCACCCTGCTGTGCTTTCCCACTGGTCACCTGCAGGCCCAGGGAAGTCAGTGCTTTAAGAAAGGCAGCTAAGTCCTTCTCACAAGACCAGGAGGATCAGAAATGGGCATTTAGCTCCCCCTTCACCACCCACCTGAAGAATCCCCTCTACTGCCAGGCTTCTGGCTCCCAAAGTCAGCAGCAGCCATCCTCCTCGCATGACAGTTCTAATCAGTAGTGTGAGTCTCCAACATTCTCTTCCCCCCACGTTCACATGTTAGAGCCCTAACCTCCAGTCACTGTGTTTGGGGACAGGGCCAGCAAGCAATCATACAGTTCATGCTAAATCAGTCTTCACTTAAGCCACCAGTGCGCAATGTCAATCTCAGATAATCAGCCCACCAAGGCAGTATTGTTGGAGTTTTAAGCTTTCTCTTTTTTGTCTGCCATCTAGGGAACCACAGATTCATCAAGGATGTCATTGACTGTTTCCGGCACACAGTGAGCAGAGAGGATCTGCAGCGTCTGGTGACTGAAGATGAAGCCTGGGAGATGGTCCGGGCAGAGGCAGGATTGGGCAGGTCAGCTCCATGGGGCTCCACAGTGCCACCCAGGCCGCTGCTGGGCTGGCTTCCTCAGGGCAGAAAACCCTCCTGGGGGCAGTGTGCTGTGGTTAGGGCTGAGGACGTTTTGCTCAACACTCCCTGCAGGATGGTTCCTCCCTGTCATTCCCTGGCAGTGAATGGGCTCAGGTTGAGGGGAGGTGCTGCCCACAGAGGACAGGATGCCATTGGCCATCTGTTAGTTAGGGGCCCTGTGCAAGGTCCTTCACTACTTTCTGCCTTTACTTTTTCATCCATTGAGTTTTATTGTGAAAAAATAAGACAATACATAGAATGTGCTCAGTATATGACTGACTCACATTTGTTGCTCAGAGGAAGTTATTTAAAAATCAGAAGGGAAGAGACTAGGACCAGGAGTCTCCTCTCCCTTGGAGATGAGACAAGTCAGAGCAATCTAGACCTGATCAGCACATCTAGACTTGCTTTCCTAAGGATGCTTCCTTGGGCCAGGTTTCTCCCCACCTGAGGAACTGCAGAAACACAGCAGGATCCGCCTGCAGCCCAGAAAGCACTAAGGATGGAGTGAAGATGAACAGAGCTGGTGTGAGGCTGGCTGTCCTGCCAGTTCCGGGAATCCACACTTGTCCCTTGCACAGTCAGGCTGTGCTGTGTTCAATGGGAACAGCGTGGTTGGGGTCCCAAGCCAGGCAGAGTAAGGTAAGGAAGGACTAAAGCCCAAAGCACAGTGAGGCTGCGGACCCAGCAGAGGACACGTGAGCATGGAGGGAGCCTTTCCTCCCTCTCCACCGGGATCCATCCCCGAGGTGCATAGAGAGTGGTGAGCGGGTTTCAGCTGCCACTGGGGACCCTGCTCTGCAGAGAGGAGCCCTCACCAAGCGGTATGCATGGGGCATCAGTGATGACCTCTGAGGTGAGGACAGTCGCTGCCAGCTGTGTGCCATTTGAGGGAGTCTGAGGACACTCCAAGTTTCTACCGCGGAGGAAGGTGCATCCTGTCCTACCTTGTGCCAATTCAGGACTTGCCTTGCTTTCTGCTGGATGATAGCAGGAGCTCGGTGTCTCGTGAGACTTTGCACGTGGCCTTGGCTGCACACAGTGACGCTGTCTCCAACTCAGGTGTCCTTAGAGGGCTGACACAGGAGGAAGACCCTGAAAGTTGGGTGCCGTGTGGTGTGGGTCAGGAGACAGCGAGGGGAGGGGAGGGGAGTCAGGGTGGAGCCAAGTGTAACCGCCAGGTCTCCTGCTTGGCAGCCACGAGGGCAGCAGCCAGACCCCCTGACCTTCCACTTGGAAGGGCAAAGGGCAGCAGGCATTGGAAGAAAGTAGGCAACAGGAAAAACCATCTTTTAGGTTCCCTCTGGCTCTGAGGATACATTATGTGCATTCAAAGTGCCCAGCATGAAGCAAACTGCAACGCCTCAGACACAGACCAAAGACCATCCTTGTTGTTGTTTTTTTTAACCTGGCTTTCCTTGGAATTGAACTCATGGCCTTCACTCCGAAATGCCGTTTTTATCCTGTATTATTTTAAGAGAAATATTTGCTAAGTAGCTAATCAGTCCAGGCTGGGCTTGAACTTTTGATCTTCCTGTCTCAGCCTCCCAGAGTGTTACAGGAATGCACCTCAACACCCAGACTCTATCTTTATTTTTGAGACTATCTTCCTGGAATTTATGTAACCATCCAGGTTTTCTAATTTACTGGGAGAACTTACAGAGCTCACTCAAGTTGCTTATTACACAGCCACAGTTTATCATGGGGAAAGCACAAGGCTTCAAATCTGACAAAGGAAGAGCTGCATGGGACTGAGTTTAGAGGGGTTGGAAAATGCAGCATCTATTCCTCTCAGGACACAGTGCACTGTAGTACTTATGTGTGACAGTTCACATCAGGAATCGCCAAGCAGGGGGTTGCCCTGGGAAAGGTTCCTTATTCTGCTACAAGTCACAGTAGTGAGGAAGCCATCATTCAGGACTGTTGCACTGGAGAGAGGGACGGGGATCAAATCTGGACAGTAAAGGCAGCTGGGGAGTATCAGCAAACAAGCAGGCTCATGATTAACAGGAACATAAGTACTGGAGGAATTTGTGATGGTGTCTTAACGGGACACATACATCAGAGGTCGGGATGGGCACCTGGTCAGGTATCAGGGTGCTGGCTTCTCACTCTCCTGGCTTGGGAGGATTTGTTCTAAGCCTGGGCAATGCAGGGCCGGGAGACACAAGACGGACCCGGGAGGCCAAGGCCAATGGCCAGGTGAGAGGATGTTCAGAAAAGCTTAAGTGCATTGTGGACAAGGAAAGAGTTCTTTTCAACCCTACCCTCAGGCTATGGCGGTCCTCCGGGGGCTGGATCACAGTCTGCCCTCACAGCTGACTCTGTCACACACCACATGTCTGTGCTTTTAGTGTCCAATTCCTCTGGGTTTCAGAAATGTTCCCAAGTCGCCATCATTCATCTCATTGCTAATAATGAGCATGCTTCAGGAGAAACACTTGGGAACACAGATGTTTTCAGCTCTGGATGTTTTCCTGATATTTAAATATTTGTAGTTTTACAATCATGGGCATGAGATTCTCCTCTAAATAGTCAACTCATGTATGACTCTTTACATTTTATGTACATATGGAGAAGGTAATATTCTACAGTCTTTTTAACAGGCCTGTGTTTTCACTGTGACCCATTGCAGAAGCACATGTTGCCACTTTTCCTTGTGACCTCAGATCAGAGATCAAAGGATCTTTTTGCCAAAGGTCAAAGTTAGAATCTTTGGATTGGGGTGCTGAACTTGTGTGGTACTGTGGCCAAAGGCCCCAGGCAAACAGAGACATTCCTAGAAGGGAGGTCTGTTCAGGGACTTACAGATCCCCTCCCAGCAGCTGGGGGAAAGAGAAGGCTTCTTTTCAGGTGGGATTCATTCCTCACTGCACTGATGTGGTCTGAGCTAAGTTCCTGCCCAGGCCCACTTCTCTGTTTCCTCCTACACAATTTCCAGTCTCCAAATAGTTGGTAGCTATGGCATGCATCTGAGTGAGCAAGGATCTTTATCAAGTGCCCTTCAGTAAAGACCATCTTCAGATGACTTTTACTCATTGCCTCCTTATTGGATAAGGACCACAGAGCACTTTAGATGTCGAAAACATGGTCATTATTGAAGGAAAAATTCTGTATATCTGTACAATTGTTTTCCATTGGATTTATAGGTAAAAGCTCTGTGTTTGGCAGAAGATCACACTGGAGAACTCATTGTACAGCTACCCAAAATACCTGTCCTAATCCATTGAACTTCACCATTGCAGGGCTGAGGCTGATGCATTACGTGAATCTCTGAAGGTGCTCGCAGATGACATGGCCAAGACAGCCAGAGAGAGGCAGCAAGAAGACCAGCAGGCTAGGAAGAAGCTTTTGGCCTTGTTTCCTCAGCTGAAAATGGAGCTTATGGAGGTCATAGGAAAGCTCCGTGACCTTGCAGGCCGGATTAGTAAGTTGCACAAGGACTGCACCATCACCAATGTGGTGGCCAGCTCCACCGGCACTGCCTCTGGTATCATGTTCTGGGTTGGCCTGGCTCTGGCACCTTTCACACTAGGGACCAGTCTGGCGCTCACTGGAGCAGGAACGGTTCTGGGAGTAGCAAGTGGAGTTACTGGTATCGCCTCTACTGCGATAGACCACAGCAAAGCATCATCAGTTCAAAAAGAAGCACAAAGTTTGATTTCAGCAACGGTGAAAAACCTGACAAGGTTTACAGAAAGGGTGGGTCATTTTGCACCCAGAGTTGTTTCCTCAAGTGAAAACTGGAAGGAATTCTTGAAAGACATGGGGAAGAGCATACGTGCTATCAAGCTGGCCATGGGTGACCGTGCGTTAATAAGCCTAATCACAACGAGCCTAAGTATAGGAAACGAAATGATGCAGGGAGGTGCAAAGCTGATGCGGCCATGCATTGGAAGCCTTGCTAGGGCAATTACAAGAGGAACCAAGATAGTTGGTGTGGGTACTGGGGTCGTAGGCTTTGGGTTAGACATTTACAACCTTGTTGAAGACTCGAAGCACTTGCATAAAGGGGCAAAGTCAGATTTGGGTGAAGAACTGCAGAAGCAGGCTAAGGAACTGGAGACCATATTGGAGCACCTCCAGCAGACCTATCAGGTCTTGTACTCAGCGTCAAATTAGTGCCTGGCTCTCCAGAGTATCACCAAGGTCAGGGAAGACGCTCTAGAGAAAGAGATGGACAAATAGGAGCGTTTCATTAGAAGGAAGAGAGGAGCCTGCATGTTAAGGGGTTTGGAGTTTTTGCGGTTGAACACAGCAAGGGAGGGATGAAAGCACATAGCGAGTAGGTTAAAGGGAAGGCAGGAAGCAGAGGCTGACATGAAAGACAAGACAGAATGAGTGGATGTGGGGAATGGGAGGATGCAGCAGACACTTCTGCCCAGTAATAGCAGGCTACAGTGGCACAAGATTCTTGCCCCTCCTTAATTCAGCTGTGTTACATTGGAAGTAGCGTGGCTTGGCAGTGTTCTCTTCCAGCCAAGATCAGCCGACTCCAACTGAATTCCCCTCCTCTGAATTAACCATCTCTTCTCTTCAGCAAAGATATTCTGGTGCCCTCATTCTACAGTCCTGCCCGCTTGAGACTTGTTATCAATAGGTGTGGCAAGGCCTGCCCATCTTGCCTCCTCTCCATGCGTGTAATGAATAAAACCTGGATGTCCTTGGGGTTCTTTGTCTTTGCTCCCCAGAGCAGCTTCGATCAGCCCAAGACCCTGCTCCTCCCCAGCCTCTGTCTCTGTGTCTTTATTCCCTCTTTTCTATTTTGTGGACATCATACTGGCTTGCAGGAGATCCAGACTCATGGCCAAGGTTTTTGATACCATCTCCTGCAGGAGGAAATAGTTTCTATTGGAATGATGGATGCCCTGGGAGACTGAATGGAAAAAAATAGTTGCAGGAGGAATAAGGAAGGTCAGGAAAAGTAAAGAATTGACAATGGGAAGAAGCCGGAATTTGAACTATTGAAATGTAAGAGGAAAAAGAGAGGCTAGAGTAGAGAGCTCCACTGCCAGGAGTGTGAGGTCCCAGCAATGAGCAAGCCCACCTCTGCTGTTCTCTAGCCCTGTCTCTCATCGTCGCCGCGAGAGAGTGAGTTCAGGGTGATGACGGTGACGGTGCGTGGTGGTGGTGGTGGCAGTGATGGTGGTGCAGGGGTCCTGGCGGCGATGACAGCAGCCAGGGTGAAGCCCATGGCCAGTTGCCAACCTCCATGGAGTCGGGATGCCCTGAGGGTTCAATGAAATTGCAGTGAAACTCCTATGACTGTGTTGGAAGAGCCGCAGGAGAAAGGACCCTGCTGCTGCTCACTGCCACCCAGCTGGCTGCCCTTCCATCACAAGCTGTCTCTTCCTCCCCTGCAGCCTGCAAGGCCGTGGAGTTATAAGCAAACTCTCTGAGAGTCCACAGTGCTGGAGCCAAGCCCTGCCCCGGAGCTTGTGCTTTCTCTGTTCTGGGCAGCTCCTGCCAGAAGCCTGAGGTGGCACCGCCCAAACACCAAGGAGTCGTGAGCAGAGAAGGGGAACTCCAAGATGCCAAGTGGGATCTCCTGGCCTCGGGCCTGGGCTTGTGGGTTTTCTCCTGCTGTCCATGGTCTCCCACCCCTCCCCAGTCCTCTCCTCATTCCCCCATTACTTCTCCCCAGGTCCTCAGAGGAGGACAGAACAGACTCCAAGATATGGAAGTCACACCGGGAAGGACAGAGGGAGGAGATGGAAGGGCTGGGATCAGAGGTGACAGTGACCTAGCGGATCATCTGGTCTGCAACTTGTCTCCTGCTCGAGTCTGAGACAAGGGTGCTACCCAAGAGGAGGCTTGCTCCTTCCTGGTCCTGTTCTGTGGGCACCCACCTTCTCTCAGCGGCCTGTCAGGAGAAGTCATCCTGAGTGCCACGAAACTGGAGCCTAGTCTGACTTTGGTCACCTCCGATCTGGGTGACCTGGAGCCCCTTAGATCACCCCCCCGTCACACAGAACAATGTCTCCCGTGGTGTAGAAAGGAGCACGTGTAACATGTGGCTGTGGCCAGGCCAGAGCCTGGCACACAGTCGGTCCTCCCTGAGTGTGGGTCTCTTCCCTACCTGGGCCCTCTTAGTTCCAAGTGGACTCTTCCCCCTCCCTAAGCTGAGGCTGTGAACGGGCACCAGCCCTGCACTCCCAGTGCCGTGCACCTGCTCACCGTGTATGGCTGACACAGGCAGGGACTGACCCCAGTTATCTCAAGGAAAAAAAATGTCTGACTGGCAAACAGAAATGAAACCGCCCTCCCAGCAATATCAGTGTTGTAAGTAGGAACCATCACTGCAGGGATTTCCAGCGACATCCATTCCCCTTGACCCTTACTCAGTGTTAGTTTTCCTTCAGTCTTGTTTTCTCCCCTTCACTCAGGTGCTTTGGACCAAGTCCACTCCTTAATTCTTCGCCAGCTTTTCAGAACACATTGTGCTGTGTGGCGTCATGGTGAAGAGCAAAGGAATTAGCAAAGACCTTCAGCAGGCCTGGGATCCTTGAGACTCTGGCTGGTGCATTCCTAGGGATAAACCTACTGCTGCTAAACCAATGGACTGGCGTGAGGGCAGAGGTGACACTGGGGAGCCAGGTGCCCTAAGACATGGACAGACCTCAGGGATGTGAACAGAGGGTAGGTGCACCATCCTCACCGGGGTGAAGAAATCCCTCCGCTGCCAGGCTTAGACCCTGCATCGCTAGCAGGAGGAATCCTGTGCACAAAATCGATTTACTCAATATTGTATGGTTGTAAAAAGTATTTTAGTCGTCCCAGTTACATTATGGAGAAGAATTATCAAATCTCACAAATTTCTATTATGTTTTCCTTTCTTTCATTTTATTTTGCATGAGTTGTTCTTTTGTGTGTGTTGTTGCTGCTGTTTTTGTTCTTTTGTTTTCTTAGCAAGTCAGGGTCTTCTGTTGTGGCTCAGTCTGGTCTAAGACTCCTGGGACCCATTGATCCTCCCACCTTACCTCCCACTCGCTGGGAATACAGGCATGAGCACTTCCATTCATGGGGGTATTTCAAAAATATATGTCTTCAAAAGGCGTATGTCTTCACAGTAAGGTCAAAACCGGGATGCCAGTTAATCTTGAATTCCACCCCCAAGCTTTCTGCTTACTGCCATCTGTCAGTCGCTGTTCCTGTCTGAGCCCCAATTTCTCCAATGCAAAAGTATCATTTCTCTCTGTGTATACAATGAGAATGGGAATCCTGCTTTGCATCATCTTTAGCGTACACATAAATAAACTTTTGTTCCTTGTCCCCGATCTGCATTTCCAGGATTGACATTGGATGACACTGCTTGTTCCAGGACCCAGAATCAGGTGTTTCCAGGGGAGGGGACAGCACAGGTAAACACCCAGCTGCAGCAGCAGGCATAGGGTGTTCACTGACAGACTGACAGCAATCAGCTCAGCTGCTTCTCACCTGACACCTTCTTCCTGGAAAGCTTTTCCTAAGTCCCTAGGGAGCTTTCTCCTCCCCAGTGTTATGTGCTACCTCCAAGGAAGCTTGAGAGCAAGAAGGCTGGGAGACCCCTCAAATCTTGTAAAGCATCCTGAGGAGACCACTCAACAAAGCAATGCTTCCAACACAAAGGCCCAGGAGGGGCCGGGAATTTAGCTCAGTGGTGCCACTGCCTGCTGGAAAGCACAAGGTCCTGAGTTCCTTCCCCGGTACCCAAAACAACAAATGCCCAGGCAACCTTCACTGGCGTTTGTAGCAGTCTACATTTCCCATCCCCAGCCTCAGGGGTGCCCGTTGCCCTTGAAATGTAAGTTCTGCAAAGAATTCCAAAGGCTGAGTTTTAAAATAATTAAAGCTACAAAAAGAAAGCTGAATGAATTAAGGAGAATAATGCAGGATGTGAAGAAGCAATTCCACAAATATATAGAGATTCTGAAGAAGAACCAAAGATACTGTGGGAATGAAAAGTGCAATAAATCAAAGAACAGTTTAGTGGAATGTCTCAAAAACTCACAGAGTCAACATTAAACAGAATTTCTGGCTGGGGAGATAAGATTAAGGAGTCACCACACTGAAGTCGTTATTAGGAAAGGAAAATATGAACTGAACTACCAAGAACCCTGAGATATGTTTAAAAACCACAAACTTACAAATTCTTGGCATAGAAGATGGCCCAAAGAGTCAGACTAATGGCTTGAAATCTATTCAGTAAAAATGATCTCCGGAAACTTGCCAAATCTTGGGAATGATGTGAACATCCAGGTGTAGAAGGCATTCAGAACTCCAGTAATGACCAGAAAAGATAGAACTTCCTGTGTCACATTATAATTAAAATGTTGAGAATACAGAAGAGAGAAATAATAGGCAAAGCTGCAAGAGTGAAACAGCAAGAGACTTATGGAGGCAAACCCGTCAGAATAACTGCACACTTGTCTGTAGAAACCCTAACACTCAAAATGGCACACACCGTGTATTTCAAAAGTATGAAACTGAAAGTATATACATGCCTATCTAGATTATTACAGCTGGTAAAGTCATTTTTCCAAACCCAAGGAGTAAAGCCTCTCCTAATAAGTAGAAATTAAAACAATTTCTGACACATAAACCAGCACGGCAGAAAATACTTGAAGGAATCTTACCAACAGAAGAGGAATAATTTGATAAGCTCTAGACAAGGAAAGAAACAGACAACAGGAAAGAAACATTAGGAAAACAACAAAATGGCAAGAATTAGTACACATCCTCCCATAACAACTTTCACTGTCAATGGTCTTTATTCCAATCTGTACCCAGAACCTTCCATGCACTGGAGCAAATCTTTGCTGAGAGGGTGCTCAGCCCCAGGCCAGGATCTGGGTCCCAGTGAGCACATGGGGACACAGGGGCTCACACAGTGTGGCTGCAGTAGCCGTGACTGAAGCCAGGTGGAGTCCAATGCAGGTGAAAAGAGACTGCTGTATTCTGTACACTGCCCCTCAGCCTCCACTCCAAGCAGGCTCTATTGCTATTCGGGCTTCTTTTTTTTTGTTTTTTTTTTTGGTACCAGGGATCGAACTCAGGTCCTTGCGCTTGCACAGCAGGCGGTGAAACCACTGAACAAAATCCCCGGCCCTGTTTGGGCTTCTTAAGTGAGGCGAGTGGACACTATGGAGCTGCAGAGCTGGGATTCTTGTTTCCTCTTCACCACCCTTTCTCCGTTACACACAGATCCAAACTGGGCGCTGCAGCAGATCCGATGTGTCAAGGAGAGCAAGCCACACAGGGCTCCTAGCGGGGTGAGCTGAGGATCGCTGGACAGAGATACATCATCCTGCCCAGCTCTCCTCTCTGTCTTCTTGGATGTCATCTTTCCTCCAAAACAAAGCATGCTGAGGGTGACTTCTCAGAAATCTGGCCATGGGGTCCTGAGGGCGCCCTGCCCTAGCACACAGTGGCAATGGGGGTCTGGTCAGTTCGTTGTGCCAGCTTCACCCACTGAGCTGTGGCTCTCAGGAGCATTGTGCTGCTTCAGTGAACAGTCGGGGAGGATGTCCCATCTCAGCACCTGTGCTGTCCCTGTCATCCTCAAGGAAATAAAAAGAATCTCAGTTGGATTATTACAAACCTGTCAGTTAAGAAGAAATCTAATGGCCTATACCAAGGAAAGCGTTTCTCACAGGACCAGGGAGGGGTGAGACTTGATACAAACAGGTTTTGCAGTTGCTGTCCCTGAAAAGCTGGGAGTCTAATACTGAGATATCGAGGGGAAGCACATGGATTGAGTTGGAGAAACAGAGTAATTCCACGCGGGGAAAAGTGGACACCTTTAATCCAGATGGGGCAGATACAATGCCAAACACCCACCCTCTACAGGGGGTGTCAGGAGGAGCAGGGTGTGCCATGGCCGCTAGGTCCACGTGGGGGCAGGGTGTAAAG